TGGACAATGTGTCTGTTCCTGTATTTACCCCTGTGGACAATGTGTGTGTTCCTGTATTTACCCTTGTGGACAACCTGTCTGTTCCTGTATTTTCCCCTATGGACAACCTGTCTGTTCCTGTATTTACCCCTGTGGACAATGTGTGTGTTCCTGTATTTACCGCTGTGGACAACGTGTGTATTCCTGTATTCACCCCTATGGGCAACGTGCCCATTCCTGTATTTACCCTTAGGGACGTGTGTGTTCCTGTATTTACCCTTGTGAACAACCTGTCTGTTCCTGTATGTATCCCTATGAACAATGTGCCTGTTCCTGTATTTACCCCTATGGACAATGTGCACGTTCCTATATTTACCCCTGTGGACAACGTGTGTGTTCCTGTATTTTCCCCTATGGACAACATGTGTGTTCCTGTATTTACCCCTATGGACAACGTGCCCGTTCCTGTATTTTCCCTTATAGACAATGTGCATGTTCCTGTATTTACCCATACGGACAACGTGCCCGTTCCTGTATTTACCCATACGGACAACGTGCCCGTTCCTGTATTTTCCCTTAGGGACAACGTGCCCGTTCCTGTATTTCCCTTATAGACAACGTGCATGTTCCTGTATTTACCCACACAGACAACATGTGGATTCTCCATCAGGCTGCAGCTCCACGTTTGTGTCAGCCTTTGCAGCTCGAAGCTGCTGGGAGCAAAGCCTAAAACACAAACCAACCCCTATGAGGCTTTTCTCAGACTTTTTTCTCTTCTTCTAGATCGCCTCTTCTATATCTACACTTCAGGAACCACCGGGATGCCCAAAGCTGCCATCGTGGTGCACAGCAGGTGAGCTCCTGAGCATTCATATCCCTCCCAAGGCGCGTTTCACCTCGCAAAACCCAAACCTTGCCCCCTCTCGCCGGCTCAGCGTGCGCTGTGTCCTCGCAGGTATTACCGCATCGCTGCCTTTGGTTACTACGCCTACAAAATGCGCCCCGAGGACGTCCTCTACAACTGCCTCCCGCTCTACCACTCCGCAGGTAAGCATCCTCCTCCTCCTTCCTCCTCCTCCTCCT